GCCAGGGCTAGGAGAATTATGTGGGGGGTATTCAATATCAGCATGACGAGGGGAGGAATTCAATACTAGGACGGGGAAGGGGGCTCTGTTGATTCAAAAAATGGCGTCGAAAAGTCTTCTTTGCTTTACAAGGCGATCTAATGTTGGAGACTAACAGAGAAAGTATCAAGTATTAAACGCCAAAATAAATTAGATTTTGTATTTTCTTAATACTTTTACTTTATGGTCCCCATGCTTTTTATTTCCCGGAAGTGAGATAAAATAAGATTAAAAAGATATATTTGACCGTGAAGCATAACAGTCCTCCATCTTACTTTGTCTAAATATCATTTTTTCTTGTTCACATTTTAATCTTTATAATTCTCTTTGTCTTATCTTCATTATGAAAACCTCTTTTTATTTCCAGAAACTACTGGCTCTAGATTCTGACAGGTTTTTAATACTTCAAGTTTTTATTGTCTCTAATAAGGAATATACTATTCTGTAGTTAATGGTATATATTTAATAAATTAATAATATTAAATTTTGATCAGGATAATCACCTTACACCAGGTGATTTATATTTTGATAAAAAATGGGGTGGAAACAAAAACTAAAATTGCACATGAAAGGCAAGTTTTTTCATTCTTTTTTATACTTTTACCCCAGAAAACGACAAAAAATATGCTTAACTTCTAGCGATAAAAAATTTTCTTTAAAAGGGGGGAGGGAGATTTTTCGGGAAAATATAAATCTATGATTCCTTGACATTTCAACAAAAATAAAACCAAATCCCATAGTGGTATAAACCATGAACAAAGAAAAGATAGATTTCATTAAAACTTTTGTTGCAGATAGTTGAATTATAGGCCAATTAAGAACCAAAAATATAAGCTATTCTAGAAACAAAGTTATAAGAAGTTTTGTACTTCTGTGTTTTTTCAAAAGTTCTAGTAAACTGTTGCTATTTTTGAATATTTTCTATAGGAGCCTAATTTTGTTTTTTTATTCACTTGAATTTTGAAGAAATGTTTCTGAAGTAGAACCGCCATATATAAATTATATTATTTAAAGACTTTAACAGAAATATGTAGATCTTTTCTAAGAAAATGACTAAAATATACAACAAACTATAAGAAAATTTACTTTTAGGTTTTTTTGACTCCAAAATTTTCACAATTTTGAATATCTCAAAAACTGGAGCAGTGCTCATACTAAACCGTGTATGTTTTGAAGTCTTGAAGATGTTGGCTTTCCATGGGTTTACAGTTAAGTTTGATAACACTGCTTCGGTTTAAGAAATATTTAACCAATTGAAAAATATAAGAGTAAAAAGCAAAAAAGTAAAATTTTGGCGTGGAAATTATAACCTTAAAAGTTAAAATGTAAAAAAAATTATAAAATTTAATTCTTTAATTTACGTTTATATTATTATGTCTCAAAAGTAGCTTATTGGTAACTGTGAAGACAAAAAAGTTAAAATTTGATGTCCACAGAAAAGGGCTCTCAATTCCTTGTTTTCAAGAATGATGGGAATGATTTAAGATTTTTTTTGTAAAAAAAGTTTATTTTTTATCATGAAGGTTTATTACCAATTAAGAGGTAACTAAATAAAAAAAATTTGAATTTGCTTGAGCCGTTTGTTTGATATGGATGCGCACACATTAAATAAAAAGTGTATGATTCTAATTCATAAGTTATTACCTTAAAAAAAAGCAAATTCAACTTTTTTTTATTAAAATCGCGAAATATGGTTAGCAATCATTAGTTTTGCAAAGTATCTGATTTCTATTCAAAAACGTTAAAAAGTTTAGTCTGTTATATAATATCCATGAAATCTGCTTTTTAAACCCCTTCACTTTGATCCTGCATTTAGATATTCGACAAACGTTTGAATTCAAAAATGCAGTGTGCAGCGCCTAAAGGGACTGTAAACGTAATTTTAAGTAACCATCCATTTGAGTGGCATGTACGATTCACAACAATACCTACAGAGCGTTGGTATTAACTAGATATCAATGTTAATGTTTCTGAAAACTATTTAATTTGATTCGATGTTTCTCAGGAAAAGTGACTTGAGCATTTCTTGCTTCAGAAACATGGAGACTATCAGAATTGAACTATTTTAAGTCAGAAAAATTACATTATCTTCCACATTATTGATCAGATTAAGGTTTCAAGGGTCCCGTTGTAAATCGGGCGTGCCCCTCGATAAATGGAGGGTCACTTAAATTTACAAATGCAGTCTCTCAAAGCACTGCATTTGTTCATCTTTTGTTTCATAAAATATAGTTGACAGTAATGAAACGTGTTCAAATACTATACAACTTATAATAATTCAAAATACAAAACATGTACAATTAGCATCTTTAACAAGGGGGGGGGGGTTGTATGGG